AGTAGTCTATGGGTCTCTATGAGTAGTCTATGGGTCTCTATGAGTAGTCTATGGGTCTCTATGAGTAGTCTATGGGTCTCTATGTGTAGTCTATGGGTCTCTGCGTGGTCTTCCCACCCAGCCCCTCGTGTGGGTGTCGACACGGACGGCCAGGTCACGGCGGTGGTCGGCCAGAAGGTGGCGCTGCTGCGCTGCGTCCTGTGGGGTGCGGCCGTGGTGGTGGTGCAGGCCAACTGGCTGAAGGCCTCCCGTGACTACGTCTGGGCGGGGGCCAATTTGGCCACGCTCAGCCCGCTGCACGGCACGGCGTACTCCAACTCGTCCCTCGCGGGCCGACTGCGGTTCCGCGTTGGGGGGCCTCCCGGCGACGTCTCGCTGGAGCTGCTGGACGTGCGTCCTGGCGACGGGGGCCTCTTCCTCTGTCACATTGTCACCTTCCCCCACGGTAACTTCGAGGGGAGGGTCAACCTCTCTGTCATCGGTGAGAATTGACACTGCCCCACGCAGAGACCCATAGACTCATCATGCAGAGACCCATAGACTACTCACGCAGACACCCATAGACTACTCACACAGAGACCCATAGACTACTCACACAGAGACCCATAGACTAACACAGAGACTCATAGACTACTCACACAGAGACCCATATACTACTCACACAGAGACCCATAGACTACTCACACAGAGACCCATAGACTCATCACACAGACACCCATAGACTCATCACACAGACACCCATAGACTACTCACACAGAGACCCATAGACTCACACAGAGACCCATAGACTCATCACACAGAGACCCATAGACTACTCACACAGACACCCATAGACTACTCACACAGACACCCATAGACTACTCAGACAGAGACCCATAGACTACTCACACAGACACCCATAGACTACCCACACAGAGACCCATAGACTACTCACACAGAGACCCATAGACTCACACAGAGACCCATAGACTACTCACACAGACACCCATAGACTACTCACTCAGAGACCCATAGACTCACACAGAGACCCATAGACTACTCACACAGAGACCCATAGAATACTCACACAGAGACCCATAGACTCATCACACAGAGACCCATAGACTACTCACACAGAGACCCATGGACTACTCACACAGACACCCATAGAATATTTACACAGAGACCCATAGACTACTCACACAGACACCCATAGACTACTCACACAGAGACCCATAGACTCACACAGAGGCCCATAGACTCATCACACAGAGACCCATAGACTACTCACACAGACACCCATAGACTACTCACACAGACACCCATAGACTACTCAGACAGAGACCCATAGACTACTCACACAGACACCCATAGACTACCCACACAGAGACCCATAGACTACTCACACAGAGACCCATAGACTCACACAGAGACCCATAGACTACTCACACAGACACCCATAGACTACTCACTCAGAGACCCATAGACTCACACAGAGACCCATAGACTACTCACACAGAGACCCATAGAATACTCACACAGAGACCCATAGACTCATCACACAGAGACCCATAGACTACTCACACAGAGACCCATGGACTACTCACACAGACACCCATAGAATATTTACACAGAGACCCATAGACTACTCACACAGACACCCATAGACTACTCACACAGACACCCATAGACTACTCACAAAGAGACCCATAGACTACTTACACAGAGACCCATAGACTACTCACACAGACACTCATAGACTACTCACACAGAGACCCATAGATTACTCACACAGAGACCCATAGACTCATCACACAGATACCCATAGACTACTCACACAGACACCCATAAACTACTCACACAGAGACCCATAGACTCATCACACAGACACCCATAGACTACTCACACAGAGACCCATAGACTACTCACACAGACACCCATAGACTACTCACACAGAGACCCATAGACTACTCACACAGAGACCCATAGACTCATCACACAGAGACCCATAGACTCACACTGAGACCCATAGACTACTCACACAGACACCCATAGACTACTCACACAGTCACCCATAGACTACTCACACAGAGACCCATAGACTCATCACACAGACACCCATAGACTACTCACACAGAGACCCATAGACTCACACTGAGACCCATAGACTACTCACACAGACACCCATAGACTACTCACACAGACACCCATAGACTACTCACACAGAGACCCATTGACTCACACAGAGACCCATAGTCTACTCACACAGAGACCCATAGACTCACACAGACACCCATAGACTACTCACACAGAGACCCATGGACTCATCACACAGACACCCATAGACTACTCACTCAGAGACCCATAGACTACTCACACAGAGACCCATAGACTCATCACACAGACACCCATAGACTACTCACACAGAGACCCATAGGCTCATCACACAAACACCCATAGACTACTCACACAGAGACCCATAGACTCATCACACAGAGACCCATAGACTACTTACACAGAGACCCATAGACTACTCACACAGACACCCATAGACTACTCACACAGACACCCATAGACTACTCACACAGAGACCCATAGACTACTTACACAGAGACCCATAGACTACTCACACAGACACCCATAGACTACTCACACAGACACCCATAGACTACTCACACAGAGACCCATAGACTACTCACACAGAGACCCATAGACTCATCACACAGACACCCATAGACTACTCACACAGAGACCCATAGACTCATCACACAGACACCCATAGACTACTCACACAGAGAGCCATAGACTCACACAGAGACCCATAGACTCATCACACCGAGACCCATAGACTACTCACATAGAGACCCATAGACTACTCACACAGAGACCCATAGACACACCACACAGACACCCATAGACTACTCACACAGAGACCCATAGACTACTCACACAGAGACCCATAGACTCATCACACAGAGACCCATAGACTGACACAGAGACCCATAGACTACTCACACAGAGACCCATAGACTCACACAGACACCCATAGACTCATCACACAGACACCCATAGACTACTCACACAGACACCCATAGACTACTCACACAGAGACCCATAGACTACTCACACAGAGACTCATAGACTCACACAGAGACCTATAGACTCATCACACCGAGACCCATAGACTACTCACACAGAGACCCATAGACTCACATGGAGACCCAAAGCTCATTATCTTCTGCAGATGTAGATGCCACTGGTTCTTCACGCTCTGCAGATGTAGATGCCACTGGTTCTTCACGTTCTGCAGATGTAGATGCCACTGGTTCTTCACGCTCTGCAGATGTAGATGCCACTGGTTCTTCACGTTCTACAGATGTAGATGCCGCTGGTTATTCACGCTCTGCAGATGTAGATGCCGCTGATTCTTCACGTTCTGCAGATGTAGATGCCACTGGTTCTTCACGCTCTGCAGATGTAGATGCCACTGGTTCTTCACGTTCTGCAGATGTAGATGCCACTGGTTCTTCACGTTCTGCAGATGTAGATCCCACTGGTTCTTCACGCTCTGCAGATGTAGATGCCACTGGTTCTTCACGTTCTGCAGATGTAGATGCCACTGGTTCTTCACGTTCTGCAGATGGAGATGCCACTGGTTATTGACGTTCTCTTCACGTTCTGCAGATGTAGATGCCACTGGTTCTTCACGCTCTGCAGATGTAGATGCCACTGGTTCTTCACGCTCTGCAGATGTAGATGCCACTGGTTCTTCACGTTCAGCAGATGTAGATGCCGCTGGTTATTCACGTTCTACAGATGTAGATGCCACTGGTTCTTCATGTTCTGTAGATGTAGATGCCACTGGTTCTTCACGTGCTACAGATGTACGTGTCACTGTTTTTTCGTATTCTGTTGATATTAATGTCACTGGTTCTTCTCGTTTTGCAGATGTAGATGCCACTGGTTCTTCACCTTTTGGAGATGTAGATGCCACTGGTTCTTCACCTTCTGGAGATGTAGAGGCCACTGGTTCTTCACGTTCTACAGATTTAGATGCCACTGGTTCTTCACGTTCTACAGATGTAGATGCCACTGGTTCTTCACGCTCTGCAGATGTAGATGCCACTGGTTCTTCACGTTCTACAGATGTAAATGCCACTGGTTCTTCACGTTCTACAGATGTAGATGCCACCACCGCCGTCTGTTGCACGCCGGTTGAACTCACGACTTTCGGTCCGAACAGGCAACTGGACACACGAACAGGTTTGTTCGCATCTCTGAATGTTGCATGTGTGTGTGTCCGTGTACGTGTGTGTGTGTGCGTGTCCGTGTACGTGCACGTGTGTGTGTTGCTTTGTGTGTGTCCGTGTCATTGTGTGTGTGTGTGTTGGTGCGTGTGTGCGTGTCCGTGTGTGTGTCCGTGTGTGTGTGCATGCATGTCTGTTCGTGTGCGTGTGTGTGTGCGTGTGCGTGTCTGTCCGTGTGCGTGTGCATGCATGTGTGTGTGCGTGTGTGTGCGTGTGTGTGTGTCCGTGTGCATGTGTGTGTGTGTGTTCGTGTGTGTGTGTTGGTGCATGTGTGTCCGTGTACGTGTGTGTGTGTTGGTGCGTGTGTGTCCGTGTACATGTGTGTGTGTGTTGGTGCGTGTGTGCGTGTCCGTGTGTGTGTCCGTGTGCATGCATGTGTGTCCGTGTGTGTGTGTGCGTGTGTGTGCGTGTGTGTGTGTCCGTGTGTGTGTGTGTGTCCGTGTGCGTGTGTGTGTGTTCGTGTGCGTGTGTGTGTGTGTCCATGTGCGTGTGTGTGTGCGTGTGTGTGTCCCTGTTCTGGCCACCCATCCCCTCGTTTGTCACAATCACGGCCTTCTCAGCTGCTGACACTCGCTAACGGCACCCGCCCCGACAGTCCGCCGTGGCCTTCACGGGGGAACTTTGTCTCCGTCCGTCCCTCCGTCTCGCTCCCTCGACCCGCAACGCCCGGGTGCAAGCACCGCGAGCCTCAAAGGGCGCCTAGCCTGGCGCGTGTGGTCATCGCGGCGGTTGTCGTCGTGCTACGGCGGCACGCTGACGCCACGCGGGGGACCGTTTGGCCACGCAGAGAATTCTGCGGCGGCAGCGGCGGCGGGCCGGGCCAGCTGGGCCGCGATCCTCGCCGTGTCCCTCGCCCTGGTGGCCACGCTGCTGCTGCTGCTGCTGCTCTACTGCCACCCCCGTCAGCGTCAGCGTCAGCGTCGTCACGAGCCCTGGGGCCCCTCGTGAGTCGCTCGCTTCTCTCGGACGTCGGGCGGACGTCGGCGGTGCCCGCGGGGTCGTCTGTGTGACGACCTGCCGCTGTGCCCCCCCCCACCACTACCCCACCACCCCCCCACTACCCACATGCGTGCAGGGAGGATCCCCCCACGCTCCCCAAGGCACCGCGGAGAAACGCGGAGGGCGACCGTGGCTCCGTGAGTGGCACACTGCCAGGACACAGAGGCCCAGTCCATCCGTGTCTCTCTCCGTATTCTGTGTAGTGTAGTGTATAGTAGTGTAGTGTATAGTAGTGTAGTGTGTAGTGTAGTGTATAGTGTAGTATATAGTAGTGTAGTGTATATACAGAGACACAGTTAGACTCGACCTAAAGCTTTCGTGACTGCAGGAATTCATTTTCTTTGGGTCTTTCGGTAAAGTTGTGCCCACTTTGTTTATGACCCTTGGGCTACACCCAACTTTAAAACTTTAAAACAGCCTGCTGCTTCAGCGGCTTTCATCCCCCTCTTTTCTCCTCCTGATGACGATTGCCAAAATAATACCCACAGACTCACCACACAGAGACCCATAGACTCACCACACAGAGACCCACAGACTCACCACACAGAGACCCATAGACTCACCACACAGAGACCCACAGACTCACCACACAGAGACCCATAGACTCACCACACAGAGACCCACAGACTCACACAGAGACCCACAGACCCACCACACAGAGTACCACAGACTTACCACACAGAGACCCATAGACTCACCACACAGAGAGACCCACAGACTCACCACACAGAGACCCATAGACTCACCACACAGAGACCCACAGACTCACCACACAGAGACCCATAGACTCACCACACAGAGACCCACAGACTCACCACACAGAGACCCATAGACTCACCACACAGAGACCCACAGACTCACACAGAGACCCACAGACCCACCACACAGAGACCCACAGACTTACCACACAGAGACCCATAGACTCACCACACAGAGAGACCCACAGACTCACCACACAGAGACCCATAGACTCACCACACAGAGACCCACAGACTCACCACACAGAGACCCATAGACTCACCACACAGAGACCCACAGACTCACACAGAGACCCACAGACTCACCACACAGAGACCCACAGACTCACCACACAGAGACCCATAGACTCACCACACAGAGAGACCCACAGACTCACCACACAGAGACCCACAGACTCACCACACAGCGACCCACCGACTCACCACACAGAGACGCATAGACTCACCACACAGAGACCCACAGACTCGCCACACAGAGACCCACAGACTCACCACACACAGAGACCCACAGACTCACCACACAGAGACCCATAGACTCACCACACAGACACCCACAGACTCACCACACAGAGACCCACAGATTCACCACACACTGTGCGTGTTGTGGGGATGCTCCGTGTGTAGTTGCTAACGCTAGAGAGTGGCAACAAGGCGGATGAGGGGCTGCACGAGTTGCCACCGCAGCCTCAGCACCAAGACAGCGGAGCTGGAAGCTACGACTACGCGGTGAGGGGGGGTGGGTGGTGAGTGAGCGGTGAGCGAGCGGTGAGCGAGCGAGCGGTGAGCGGTGAGCGAGCGAGCGGTGAGCGAGTGTCCGCCCACATCACCGATGCTCCTGCTTAGGCTGAGTGAGCGATCCGCTTCTGGCCACCCCAGGGGGGGGGTGGGTGGGGTCGGTCACCGTCTCTCTAATTTATTCCGACCCCCGCAGGTTTTCAAAGACAAAGATGACGACGAGGCGAGGGAGGAAGATTTTTGAGAAGCGGCTCGGGGTGGGGGGGGGGAGCGAGAGTGCTCCACCTTGCCGTGCTCCACCTTGCCGTGCTCCACCTTGCCGTGCTCCGCCATTTGCCTCGTGCCGGTTACAATCGGTGCCCCGAGTTTGGCTTTTCACTTTTTTTTTGGGTGGGGTGGGGGTGGGAATTTTGTTTTACGAAAGAGCTCTCCGTTAACCGGACGCAGTGTTTTTGTTATTTTATTTTAGTCTTCGCGACGGTCTCTCACCTCCCAGCGCTTTCCCCCGGCGTTGTGCCTCTGGACGGGAGGCGACCGGGCGTCGTGCCAGGGAGCCAGGGAGAAGGGGGTGGGGGGTGGGGGGAGAATTTAAATTCGCCCTCGCGTGGCCGGGGGTCGACGAGCGGCGACATCGGCACGGTCCGTCACGACGTCCGGCACGGAGAGGGAGTTCCGCGTGTTTATATTATATTGTTTTGTCGGGGCAACAAGCGGCGTCACGAGGCGTGTACAACGCCGTGAGCCTTCGTGCGCCCCGTCAGCGTCCCGGTTTTTTATTTCTCCCCAAACCCGGCCAGTTTCATCGGCCGCTCCCGCGATGCCGCGGTACTTTCATAGTTTGACGCTGTTGGTTTTCGGCGAACCGATATCAGCCGGGTTAGATTGTGTAAATAAATCAATGTACAAATGTGGCTGTCGCCTGATGAAGCTGGTTGTTGTGATTGCTGGCGAAATGTCACGGTATCCAGAGTGCAAATGTTGTTGCTTGGCTCGCTAACCCACCAGTGTGCTGTACTAGTGTACTACACTACTCTATACACTACACAATACACTACACTATACACTACACTATACACTACACTATATACTACACTATACACTACACTATACACTACACTATATACTACACTATACACTACACTATACTATACACTACTATACACTACGCTATACACTCACTATATTAAATAATACACATTACATTTTGATTTAAATAATTACTCATCTACAACTCATTACTAATCATAACCAATGACTGATTACTAATCGATTATATAATTACAATACCCCCCCCCCCTCCGCCTCTAATCACTGCACCTGATATGAGTTAAGTGATGACGTCACCCTGCTGCTCTATATAAAACCGGGAGCAAGCGAGGGCTTTACCATTCTGGCGAATTGCCCGATGATGCTGGATGTATTTACCAGCGAAACGTCACAGTACTACTCAAACTGTAAATGTGGATTCACTCTTCAACACACCGGTGGGCTAAAGTAGTGAATTATTTGTCTTTTGTCAACGTGACACTTTTTTTGCTGATTGGCCGTGTCGGGTGGTGGAGGGTTACGACACATTTATAAATAAACGCGATCTAATCCAAAAACCTTTATTATGAATAATATTGGTCGCGAAAGCCTACGTGTTAAACTACACTATACATTACACACTATATATACTACACTATACTATACACTATACTATAGACTACACTATACTATACACTACACTATACACTACACTATACACTACTATACACTACTATACATGACACTATACACTACACTATACTATACACTCCACTATACACTACACTATACACTACTATACACTACACTATACACTACATTATACACTATACACTACACTACTATACACTACACTATACACTACTATACACTACACTATACACTACTATACACTACACTATACAACACACTATACACTACACTATACTATACACTACACTATACACTACACTATACACTCCACTACACACTATATATACTACACTATATACACTACACTACACACTATATATACTACACTATATACACTACACTACACACTATACACTCCACTACACACTATATATACTACACTATATATACTACACTACACACTATATATACTACACTATACACTACACTATATACACTATACACTACACTATACACTACACTATACACTACAACACACTACATTAGGATCCGTCGATAATAGTTCACCTCATTGTTTTGTGATGTTCTTACTTCTGCCCGTTCACCCAGAGCCTTACCGCTTATTCACATTCTCTAGTTCTTTCAGTCGAGTCACGTAGATAGATACAAAATACCACGCCGTTTAGATCGCAACACAAGCGGTCCTCGTCAGGAAAAGGGGACTTAGCCTCTAAAGGTAAACTCTTTACACTGGTACCTCGGAGATGGAACTTAATTCGTTCCCAAAACCGTGTTCGAACACCGATTTGTTCGAACACCGAATCAAAGTTCCCCGTAAGAATGAAGGAAATGGCATTAATTGGTCCCCCACCCAAGGATGCTCCTATTATGGGCCATTTTTACACAAAGTTTACAATATTAAAAATACAGTACAGTACATAAAAGCGTACACAAAACAAGAAACACCGTTATAATGAATAGAATAAATGAACATTGATACTTCACCTTAACTGTAGTAAGGAGAGTGGATGGCTTGAGTGGAAGGCGCTGAGGACAAAGTTAACGTAACGATGTTTTTTTTTGCGGGGTCTGCCACTGGGCGAGAGCCACGCGTGAACTGGCTACGCGTCTCGCTCACCCTGGTTACGCGTCTCGGTCGCCATGGATATGCGCCTCGGTCGCCATGGCTACGTGTCTCAGTCGCCATGGTTACACGTCTCGGTCGCCATGGCTACGCATCTCGGTCGCCATGGCTACGCGTCTCGGTCGCCATGGCTACGCGTCTCGGTCGCCATGGTTACGCGTATCGCTCGCCCACGCGGCTTCTTGCAAGTTGTTCGACCTCCGAATTTTCGGTTCGATGTCCGGGGCAAAAAAAATGGTCAACAATTTTGTTCCATCACCGAATCGTTCCGAGTCCTGGGGCATTCCATCTCCGCAGTTCTCACTGTTTGTATAAAGGTTTGCAGATGGGCGTAGCCCAAGCGCGTCAGCAGCGTGGGTGCGGCAGCAATGCCGACGCAGTAGCAAAGGGCCGACAGGAAATCCCTGCACCCTGCTGCACACAGCACGCTGCTGACGGTGGAGGTTGATTGACAAGAAACACAAATTTTGATTCAAAGCTTTCGTGACTGCAGTAATTCATATTCTTAGCTCTTTCGGTAAAGTCACGTTGAAGGGAAACAATAAAAAGTTAATATATTTTATTATTTTTATTGTTTCCCTTCAACGTGACTTTACCGAAAGAGCTAAGAATATGAACGAATCTTTGTTGATGGCCATCGTCTTAGAGAAATCAACTTCGTGTGAGCCAGCCGTAGTATTAAAATAATCATCAGCCACGGTAGAAACGTTGGTCCTACCGTGTTTCAAATCTGCCTTCTGCTCACGAACACAGTCCGAGACTACGTCGCTTAGTTTCCCCAATGTAACTGCAGATGCAGCTTAGTTTGTAGACGCCGGGATATTGCATGTCAGGAATCTTGTCTTTCACAGATGGGATCAGATCACTAATTTTATGTACTGTGTTAAATCGTACCTGGATCTTGTGTTTGTACATGATTTTGGAAATCCTTTTGGTTACCCCTGCTATGTATGGCAGGGTGATGGTTTTGATTGGATCCTCAGATGGCTCCTTCCTCACGTACTCTTTGGTTCTATTCGGTAAAGTCACGTAGGTAAAAATAAAACAACAAAAATGACGACGTTTCGGCCACAACACAAGCGGCCTTCATCAGGTGAAGGGACCGGGCTGTCTCGAGGACAGAGCTGGAGTGAAACACAGCCACGCTCAGACCGCGACCTTTAAGCTGTGTGCGAGGAAACAAGGTGCCTTGACAAAGGAATTAGCGTAAAAAAATAGCATTTGATTGGCCGACTTAGCATGATGAATGGTGTACATGCGGGTGCACATGCCGGTTGGCGCGGGGGGGGGGGGGGGGGGGGGTTTACATATTGATGGTGTGAAAAGAGAATTTTTAAGAACTGCGAAAGTTTGGGGTACCACTACTTTGCGGATTGTGTAGTCAGACAATCCATTCGCCTTGAGGGCTTGGTGTACGTGTTTTGAGTTCACTGGTCAGGCGTTCGTGGCCGGAGATGCACTGAGCTCTGTGGTGTAGCGTTTTGACGAGGAAATTCTTCCGGGATGGATGGTGCTGGGATTCGGGTTTTAGGTAGCCGTCAGTCTGGGTTACTCTCCTGTAGACAGAATGGCTCATTGAGCCATCTGGTCTCTCTTTGATTGAGACATACAAGAAAGGTAGCATGCCATCCGTTTCTACCTCCGTGGTGAATTTGATGGCTGGGTTTATGGAATTGATGTGGTTGAGGAATTTTATTTTGAGCCGGTCGGCCATGTGGCCAGATGACAAACGTGTCATCCACATAGCTCTTCCACAAGGACGGACGTAGAGTGGATGCCTGGATGGCGTCCGTCTCAAAAATTTTCCATGAAAACATTGGCCACAACCGGTAATAAGGGAGAACCCATAGGGGTGCCTTCAACTTGTTTGTCGAATGTTCCATTCCGGGTGAGTATTGGTGAGGCAGTGTCTCGCCAGGACCGGTACATCGGCATTCAATCCTCGTTGGACCAAATCCTCAATGATTGCAATGGGTATCGGGCACAGGAACTTTGGTGAACAAAGAAACTACATCGAAACTGACGAGTAAGTCACCTGGGAACAGTGAGATGTCTTTCATTGACGATACCAGGTGAGCTGAGTTAAGTACAGAAGAGGTGGTCTTACCAGTGAATGGCTGAAGGTCTCAGATATCGGGCCAGTTCGTAGGTGGGTGAGCCAATGGTGGAGACG